GCTATTTTACATTTGGTTCCTCTAGTGAGTCTCCCCCTTCTAGTTTAATTTTAAGATCCCTTCATAGTCTTAATTTAGAAGGGCGTATCACAAAAAGCTTGCTTATATTGATCACTACGTAGCACATGGATTGAAAAAAAATTACTTTATTTACATAATAAACTAGTGTTAAATACTTTATGAAAATCAATTTCATTAATAAAAGAAACTAGTGAAAAATTTAAAATAGCACCAGGGTACATCTCTGCAAAAATGTTATTAGCACTGAAATTAAAAGACACCAGGACTTTCTTATCTGCTCACAAGGTTCTTTTGGTTGAAGATTTATGTAGATGGAAAAGAAGCTCTCTAGGAAACCCTAAAAACAACTTGGGGAACCTCTAGAGCAGTGGTTCTCAACCTTCTTCATGCTGCGACCCTTTCATACAATTCCTCATATTGTAGTGACCTCCAATCTTAAAATTATACTCATTGCTACTTCATAACTGTAATTTTGCTACTGTTCTGAATCGGGGAACCCCTGTGAAGGGGTCCTTCGACCCCCAAAGGGGTCACAACCCACAGGTTGAGAACCGCTGCTCTAGAAGGTTTTGAACCACATCTTAAGAACCATTGCTTAATACATTTAAAACTAACTATATTTACATTTCACGTTTAGAACACATTAAAGAAGTTTATTTCCTAAACACTAACAATAGTCTTTGTACAGCAATACTTTAATATATATATATACATATGTATAGTGTGTGTGTGTGTGTGTGTGTGTGTATGTATGTATTTTAAAAAGGAGCTAATTCTGGAAAGGTCATTAAAAGCCAGTATTAAGACACAGGTTCAAAATATAAATAATTTCAAAAACAAAGATTCATTTGATAACCACCACTAATATACCTGATGATCTCACTAATCTTCTTGATGCCCTTTCAGAACGAAAAGATCGATAGATTTCTGGGCTAAATGCAGGTTTAATTCGATATGGTGGATTAGGGGATCTGGATCTATATCTCGCAACAAAACGATGGCAAAGCCTTGGACTTCGACTTCTTGGTCTATACGCATAATGCAGTGGGCTTCGAGATCGACGGACCCTGTGTCTTGAACTTGATCTCCTAGAACGCCTGGGACTGAGTGAATGAGAACGTCTTCTTGGTGTTTGAGTCTCTTTCCTACTGCCTTCATTTCTATAAAGCAGAAAAACCAAGTTTAGATCCAGTATTTAATGCAAGTTTAAATTACATTAAATGACAGAATTATCTTCTTAGAAACAGATTAGCAATACCAAACTCTAATATTACGTTATTTACATTGAAACAAAGCCTAAAGCACTCCTTTTGTATATCCAAATTTATTTTGTAGGTAAATGAGCAACAATTTGAACAGTTGGGCAGTCCTGCAACTGCTCCATGAATACTTCTTTTATTAATTTACATAAGAATATTATCATCAATTTCTTGGCCTTTTTCCACAACAGTTTTATACATAATTATGCTTTGAAGAATTACATAATTTAGGAAATTAATTTTATACAACAATTTTTATCCTGCGGATTTATGTTATTTATCGCCAAGTTGCATATATACAAATTAAGTACAGTGCCCTAGGGGGATAATGTATACAGAATAAATTATATTATTTTATTAAAAGGCTATTTTACATAAGGACCCACTTTATTTGGTATCTTTAATAAGGTCACTTTGGCTATCAAGGTATCTGTAATCTCACAACCATAAAATTATAGTAAATGTTAGAATAAAATATTTTCAAATAAGTAGATGTTCAGAGTAGTGATCTGTCATTTTTAAGATGGAGTGATCGAAGAAAGACCCATATAACCTGGGGAAGTTGTTCACCGTTAAAAAATATAGCACACTGCTATCAAGTCGATCCCAACTCATAGTGACTTTATAGGACAGAGGAGACTTGCCCCTGTGAGTTTCTGAGGCTGTAAATCTTTACAGGAGCAAAAAGTCTCATCTTTGCGCTGTGTGGTGGTTTCAAACTTGAGCTTACCAGCGCGGCTTGGAACCCACTGCACCACCAGAGCTCCTAAAATGGTGAATAGGACCCAATTCAAAATAATGCCCCCTGCTTTTTTTAAGTACTTGTTTGATTTTAAAACAAAACTTTTATAATAACACTAGAGAGGAGGCAACTTCTTGCTGGGCTGAGGGGTGTCTTCAGATGTTGAAGGACACAGGTTATGCAATTTGTCTTCCATAACATTGAAATCATGGTAGATACTCAATTCCAGGTGGAGTAGGGGTTACAGGTTGGGCTACTAATCGCAAGATCAGCAGTTGGAAACCACCAGATGTTCCACAAGAATAAAGACTGGGTTTTCTCCTTCCATAAAGAGTTACTATCTTGGAAAAGAGTTACTATCTTGGAAATTCTCGGAGACAGCTTTATCTTGTCCTAGAGAGTCTCTGAGTCGGAAGCAACTTGATGGCAGCAACTTTGGGTTGTTATTTTGGTTTGGTATAATGAATATTTCAGCAGTTACCCTCTTGCTCACTCAAAACCCACTGCCTTCGAGTCGATGCTGACTCATACTGATCCCCTGTGGTTTCCCAAGGCTGTAGGGAATAGAAAGCCCAGTCCTCCTCTCAAAGAGCTGCTAAACTGCAGACAATGCTGATCACAGCACAGCATATCACCACTCTATTACAGTGGCTCCAGATCATACTCTCCGATAGATTTGTATATATGCAACTTAGCCACATATGCGTGTTCTGCTTTTGCTTGTTCAATACTTCTAAGTCACAGTACAAAAGAACTACAGCTGTCAAAGCAACATAAATGGATTCTCAAGACTAAAAATTCTCATGCCTGGATTATGCCAACTTATCATGTGACACCTAGAAGGTGGGGAATGTCACCATTAAAAGAATGATTACCTTCTTGATGGGAGAATCTCAGGATTCCAATCAGGATACCTATTTTGAGAATAAACAAAATTAATGAACAGCTAAAATCAGATTATAAGGCGCAATTAAATTTCCCTGCAATACACCAGAAGAACTCTTCAAAATCTAAGTTTCAATAGTATTTGTCTTTTATTAGTTAATGATTATATAATTTAATTTTAAAAGTAGTCATTAGTAGATTCATCAGGAAAAGGAGACACGCTCTTCATACTTAAAGGCCCAGAATTACTATATGTTTACTTAATTTCAATATAGTGAGACTTAAAATACCACAAAAATGACATGTTAAGTGCAGAAAGGAGACAAAAGGAACATCAAAGAGCTAGACAGGCAAGTCGTGCCACTTATGTGTTGTGTGACAGTACAGTATGGAAGTTGCTTCAGTGTGTTCAATTTCCTCATTGATGGAATCAAGAATAATTATTAGACCTACATCTCTTAAGGTTGTTTTAAAGATTTAAGGAATCACCTAATACACTTAAAATAATGTCTAGAATTTAAGGATGAACTATATATTCACTTACTGGAGCCCTGGTGATGTAGCGGATTACACGTTGGGCTGTCAGGTCAGCAATTTGAACCCATGAGCCAGTCCAAGGGAAAAAGATGAGGTTCCTATACCGGGAATGATTTACAGTCTCACAAACCATGGGGGCAGATCTACTTTGTTCTACAGGGTGGCTGTGAGACAGAAACAGCTGAGTGGCAATGAGGATAATCATGTAATATCATTAGTACTAGGAGCTCAAAGGGCATAGTGGTTACAGATTGGGCTGCTAACCAACCACAAGGTCAGCAGTTTGAAACACTAGCTACTCCATGGGAGAAAGACAAGGGTTTCTACTCCCGTAAAGTTACAGCCTGGGAAACACACAAAGCATTCTACGCTGTCCTAGAGGGTCACTGTAAGTCGGAATCAAATGAATGGCAGTGTTTTTTTTGTTTATTGTTAATACAAAAAGTCTGGTGCACTGGACCTTTTCAAGTCATAATCCTTGTGCCTAATCTAGAATGAGCAACAGGTCACATGTACAACAAAGAGAATGAGGATGACAAAGTGTATGAAAAGTGGTAAGAACTTAAACATACATCAATAAACAGCTCTGGTGACAGTGGTTTAAAGACTGGGCTGCTAACTGCAATCTTTGAAGTCCACTAAATGCAATAGCTGCTTTAGAGAGATGAGATTGCTCCCGTAAGAATTTATAGCTCGAGAAACCCTTTAAAGCAATTCTACTCTGTCCTACAGTCCGAAAGGACTCAAATGGCAGTGACTTTGTTTACACAGGTAGGATAGTCATACAATGGAACGCTATGCTTTCAAAAGAATAGAGCAGCACGTTTTGCCCTGGAAAAGATTCTAGGCACCTAATCAAAATGAATTTATTTGCTAGATTTTTTTTTTAAAAGTAATAAATATATTCAAGAGCACACAACTTGAATAAGATCAATAATAAGGCAAGAATTAAAGTAAGAGGCATGGAAACACATATTTTTAAAATCAGGGGTACATGAAAAAAAAAAAAGACAGGCACATACATGTACACAGAAAGTCTTAATAGGTATGCAATGCTTTTTTGCCTTAATATATCAGTGCTGTAGCGACTCACATTAACCCAATGTGATGCATTAAGACTACCCAAAGGGTTTCTAGACTAATTTTTATAAGAACAGATCATAAGGTCTTTTCTATACAATGAGCTGCGGGATGGGTTTAAGCAGCAAACCTTACAGGTAACAGCTCAATCCCACCTTGTCTCCCCAAAATATATGCCAGATTTAGCTTAAGAATGACTGTTCACTAGGCAGTCAGCGAAAGTAGGTCAGAGGTTATTCTCCCTAACATCAGCCATCTAGACTGTATAGTCTGACTCACCCTAAATAAGACCCACTCCCTTCTGATAAGGATAGTGGTGGTCTGTTTACTTGCAGGAGATACCAGAGAGGTCAAACCTGCCCAAGGATGACCAAGGTTAGGTAGCCATTATCAGCTGTCTAGATCAAGCACACACCAGTTTATCCCACAACAAATACGGCACATGCCTAGGTCATCCCTCTCCTATTGATTATATTGCCTATGTTGCTACCCCTCCTCTCCCTATGACTTAGGTTATTGTCTGCTATCAGGGGACTTGCATGCCTCCAAGAATAATAATTGTATTTTATTGTATGAGACACCAGAGTGATCAAACCTGTTCTAGGATGAATTGTATTGCCCCCTTTTCTGTAATGTATGATTCTGTAATCAGATCCCCCTAAAGTGATATGATGCGTGGTTAGCAATAAATAAGGAGGCTCCCTGGTTCTTGGGAGGGTGGCTGAAGAAGGTGGCTTAGGAGGACGAGCAGTTGCTTCTTCTCTGACGGCTAAGCCCCCTCCACGAGGACCATCAAGCGGGGCTGAGGTGAGCGATGCTACCATGAATTGTGTCTGACTCCTATTACTTGACGCTATTCTTTAACTCTCATGCTCACTATGACTTTACTATAAACTTTACTTATTATCGCTGTACAATTGCGTCTACCAAACCTGTGATGTTTGGTTTCTTCTTCCCTTTAACCCCACACCACCTAAACTCTTTATCTTCATAAAAATCAGATTTCCCACTAGGTGCTTGTAGAAGTATTTATGGTTTAGGAGAGAAATCTTTATTTGATGTGGCAATAGGAAAAACAAAACTTACTGCTACACAGTCAAATTCAACTCAGAGAGGCCCTTACAGGGCAGGGTATAACTGCCTCTGTGAGTTTTTGAAGATTGTAACTGAGAATCTCTCTCCTGAGAAGCAGATGTGGTTTCCAATCTACTGACCTTGCAGTTAGCACCCCAACAAGTAACCACCACAACAATCATCTCCTTATGATAAACCTGCATTTTTATCATCAATCTCTATGCTTAAGCAGTATGATTCAGATGGGTTATATTCCATTCTCAACTCCAGGAGTGGGCACATGACACCAAGTGAAAAGCATAGTTATAGTCCTATGATGACAATAATTAGACAACTAACCCAACAGCAAGAGTCCGAGGAAAGAAGTTATTTTTTACCTTTTCACTCTAGAGTGCCAAACCATCCAGATTACTAATACAAAATTATGGGGGCATTTTTGCCACATGAAGAATGTCTACATGACATTTCATAAAACCAATGCAAAGGAAAACATGACAAATGAAAGCATTTCTGACACTCTGGTTTTAGAGAATCCAGTTCAGCTGAGCTGAAACTAGAACTAGTAAACTTCCCAGCTATTTGAGTTAATAAATTCAGTGTTTTTATAAAAACTTAAAAACTAGATGTTTCACTCATGACTAAAGTTCTGGATGATAATCTAAAAAACAAAAAACGCACGATGTTTCATTTAAGAACACAATGAAGAGTCTGCGTGCGCGAGTGGGAGGTGGCAGGCCTCGCTCTCTGGCCTTCCCCGCTGACTCTTCCAGCGGGACATCTCCAGCCATGGACCTGTTTGGTACCCAGTTACTGAGAGCCACCGTGAACCCGTCACCACTTACAAAGGCCCGCAGCAATGAAAACCTCGACAAAATCGATATGTCATTGGATGATATCATCAAATTGAATCGAAAGGAAGGGAAGAAACAGAATTTTCCAAGACTCAACAGACGACTTCAGCAAAGTGGTGCCCGGCAATTTAGGATGAGTATGTTGGGGAATTCAACCAAATTCTGGTTTTGGTAAAAATAGTCTGAGCCGCAGAGGAAGAGTAATGCCTGGAAAGAGACGTCCTTATGCAGCTAAAAAACAACGGGAATTTGAAAAGGAGTTAGTCCTGTGAATCAACCACCTTTGAGTGATAAAAATGTAGAGCCCTATTTTCCAGTGTTGCAAAGGAAGACAGACCTGACACAAAATGAAGTGCAGAGGAAACCAGATGCAGTTCTCAAGAAACCTAACCTGTTAAACAGAAAAAGTAACATTCCAGTCAACTTGACCAGAAGCGGGAACAAATTAAGCCACCAGAAAGACACCTGTCAGGCAACTTTTCTTTTCAGAAGGGGCCTGAAGGTTCAGGCCTAGTTGAACACAGAACAACTGCTAGACGATGTAGTAGCAAAAAGAACTTGTCAATGGCGGACTTCCACCACAAATGGAGGAATTTTAACTGTATCCATTGACAATCCCGGAGCAGTTCATAACCCAGTAACTCAGACACCACCATTAACTCATACCTCTGTACCATCATTCTTGGCAAAACGGGAGCAATTTGATGTAACGAAAGTTCCTAAAGATGTTCCCCTACAGTTTGACATCAGTAGTGTTGGAAAACAGACAGGGATGACTGCATGAGCGATTTGGGATCCTGAAGGAACAAAGAGCCACTCTCACGTTCAAGAAAGGAGGAAGCCGCTTTTTAACCATGGGATAGATCTCCTGTCAAAGGAACTTTTGGACTATTTGAAAATAGTCACAAAGCTAAATAACACATTTTTATTTTTAAAGTGTCTTTGTTTGTTTTTTAAGAACATGTATAAAATAATGCCCTGAAAGAATAAGAGAGGTATATCTATTTGTTCTTAAAGATTTTATGGCTGTCCGGAAAGAACAATTCCTCTATTTGACTTCTTTGGTTCCTCAGAAGAAAAGCAGAAAGATAGAAAGTGATTATTTTCCTGGGACTGGGACTGAATAATTTGTATACTTTGCTCAGTTTTTAGACTTCGCCATGGTAAACCTTGGTCTTCAGAAATATGAATCTCTTTGCTGCTGTCACTTATTCTTTAATAGTGTTTATGTAATACGTGCAGTTGCCTTTTCTTTAAAACACAAAAACTATTAAGATTCCTGCTTGCGTATTTTAAAATGTATTAGAATATCTGGAACTAATTTTTCCAGGTAGTATTGGGTTAATCTAGCTGTAAATCCTCAGTTGTGAACTTTTAACAAAAGTTATGACTCAAGGCAGTAGAGTCTTGCTTTTGGTACTTGGAGGTGATACGTGTATGTTTACAAAGTTATCTGCTAGATCCATGATAGAACAGATCTGGTGTAGAACTAGGACAGTTTGTTCACTAAATGAAGACAGCAGCGGGTGGAAGAAGAGTGCCTGAGGTGGAAAACGACAAAACCCGCATTACAGGTACATTCTTTGGGTATAGTGCAGTCTTGGAGTAGAGTATCTAAAAAAATTCTTCAAATGATATTTAAAAGAAGTATACTTATGTACTTGAGTATAAGGAGACCCGAATATCTGCCAAGGCACCTAATTTTGCCACAAAAACTACATAAAAATGTGTAGGAAAACTCGGCTTATACTTGAGTGCATACAGTACTTATTAAAATGGATTGGATCCCTTAGGTGTTTTGCAGTAAATCTAATCGCCCTCAGGTCCTTTACGTCTTTTGCAAAAGGCTAAATTTTAGGCGCTTTTAAAACATGTCCACTTAAACAATACACTGAACAACTCCAAAAACAAAAAAATACATGTTTAGGCCACAAAGAAAAAATACAAGAGTGATAATAAAGTAACACTAACCTCGTTTATACTTTTATTTTGCATTATAAAGTACAGGGCCTTAACAGGAGAAAAAGTTACCCTACCACCAAAGGACCAAACAAATTGTATGCTATAAATTATAGTAAAATGCCAAAATGCAGCAAAATATCCCAACTATAAGTTACAAGATTGGTCACTTTGAAGCGTGACCTTTTGCTTGAAACCTCTAAGAAGGCATTCGTTTCTCTAGAATATATTATTGTTGACCTTTCCTGTAACAAAACATTAACTTACAGCTCCTGCTGGCCCTGCATTATATTCTAGACTTCATTGTTGTCTCTTATGCTCCTTGAATTACTTACTGTTTAACTAAAAAGCTAACCTGGAAAGTTATCATTATCAATTATATTTTGACAGCTCTTCAACTTATAGAGGATAATGAGAAGTCAGTCACAGAATTTGAAAATAAACGCTAGTTTCTCCTATGCTTTCACTGAGGCCAAGGACCTATTACAAAACATCTTTGCAAATGTGAATGCTTATACTTGGTCCAGAAACAATACATTGTAGACTGGATTTGAGATAGCTTATTTTAAAGCAAAGGAAAAACTGAGAGTGATTGAGCATCTTCAGAACAACTAGTGGAAATATGGTGTAAAGGTAGTTTTCATTTTCCTTTTGAGTTACTCTAAATATTACTGTACAGAGCTGTTAATGGCATTTTTTAAGTTTAAAAACTGCCCCAAATATTGCCATTTAGTGCATTAAACAATATGTCTTTGGCATATT